AAAACTTTTCCATTTTTACAGATCATCTTCTATGTTCTTTATTAGAATTCAAAGTTTTTCCCCCCAGCCTTATTTTCTCTTAGGTAAGTCAATATCTAATACTTTACAGTTTGGGTTGCTATTGTGAATATAGTCTTTCTTAAATTTTTTACTAGTCAGTTATTCCTGGTGTAGAGAAATGCTGTTGACATTTGTAGGCCGATCTTGTATCCCACAAGCTTGCTGAACTCTAGTAATGGGTCTCTTGTTAACTCTGTTGAGTCTGATGGATTTTCTATGTATCTGATCACATTAATCGCAATTAATGACAGCTGGAGCTCTTTCCTTGCAGTTCTTACACTGGTTACTTCTTTGTCTTTGCATATGGCATTAGACAGAACCTCCAGTCCTGAGACGATGGACATCCTTTTCTTATTTCTGATCTTAAAGGGAATACGTTCAAAGGTTATCCATTAAACATGTTTGCTGTTTTGTTATATAACCTTTATCAAGTTAGGGGAGTTTCTTCTTATTCCTAGTCTGCTAAGAGTAGTTTTCTTAGTGATAAATAGGTATTGACTTTTATCAATACTTAATATCTTGAAATGTATCACGACCTGGGCCACAGCCTGACCCTTCACATGGGGTATCTTATATGAATAGGGTCATAGCACAGCCAGGGATCTAGAAACCTAGTCTCCATTCCCAGCAATTTCACTAACTAACACTGTAATCACAGATATGTCATTTGACTTTTCTGAATCTTGGTGACCTCATTTGTTGGGTGAGAGGTTTGGATTAAATATGGTAAGATCTTCCTTATTTTATCACAAACAGAAACAAATCCTTCTGTAAGGTCTCATGTAAGTTTCGAGTCCCTCTTATCCTTAGAAATGTTTCTCTACTTCAAAATGTAGTTGTTATTTTTAATACTTTCCATAATTGTTGCTTTTGTTCTCCTCAACTGATTATAAAATGATCGTCTTAATATATTCTATGAATATATTAATAATATATAGACTATTCTGTCCAACTGTATCCAGTATTCAGTTTTAAAATACTGATCAGCAATGCATGCCCATGGCTCTGATACCCTACTCTACTGCCTGTACCCTACATGCCCATGGCTCTGATACCCTACTCTACTGTCCATCACCATTCTTCAACTTCAGACTCACCAAACTGCATACTGGTATCTCTTATCCCACACATAGCTTGATTAACAGCATTGCCAAAGCCAAAGCCCTCATTTTTCCCCCTCCAGATCTCCACCTTCTGCATTCTGTCCACACAGTTGCCCAGTCCAGAAACCTGAGTGCCAACTTGATTCTTCGTCTTTCACCTTCCACATCAAACACCAAGCCCTCCAGAAGCCATCTTCTAAATCAGACCATCTATTACTCTCCATCCCCTGGCCAAGGCCATCATTTTTTCTATGTTGATCACTACTGTACTCTTCTAACTAGCTTCTGTACTTCCAGCCACACCAGCACAGAGTCCCCAGTCCATTCTCTACAATGTTTTTTCTAGAAGAGAACCCAAAACTCTTCAGTGATTCTCCAATGCCTTCAGGATCAAGTCCAGACTACCTAACATGCTTTATAGTTAGAGTGACCTAGCATCCAAACAGGGACACTCTTGAGAATGAAAGGGGCACTATTCATATTAGTGCAGGAACAGCAGGTGTAAACTCTCCCAGGCAAGTCAGGAAGCTGCTCACCTTGGTTATGAGGCCCTGTCTGTTACCTGACTCCACCTGCCTCTCCACTGCACATTGAAGCTCCAGTTTCATGAAACCCTCTGGGGTCCCCAGACTTGCCAATCTTTTCTCTCACCACCTGTCTCCGCTCTGAGTGCCCTGTGGCCCCATCCATCTCCTGTGACTGGCTCCCTGAGGACCGAGTCCTGCCCTGTACCTCTTCTACTACGTCACGTCCTCACCTGCTCATGTGTCTTGTTGAGCTGATAGCGCTGTAACTCTTATCACCTTGAACAAGGCATGTTCAAAGCTGGACTCAGTATTGCTCCTCTTGCGGCCCCCTCTTCCTCCTGCCTCGAACATTTCAGGTAATGTCTCCATCCAGCCAGCGTCTACCATGGCACATGAAATAAGTGTTTATTTAACTGAGCTGAAGATGTTAGACAGTTGGCCGTTGCAGAAAAAAATGTTTTGAAAATTCATAAATATACGCATAGATCACTGTAGCTATCCATTGTAACTATTTAATTGTTAGCTTGGTTATTTCTTATGCTTTATCATAGATGTTTTCACGCACATCCATTCGTTCAGCATTTACTTTGCATGTCTAAGAGTCAGACACTACATGCAGGCACTGGGGACACTGCTGTGCACAGTAGAAAACTCCTGCCCTAGAGAAGCTTACACTCCCCTGGAAAAGATGAACGATAAGCAAACAGTAAATAATAGATGTCAAGTAGCATGGCCGCTCTGGAGAAAAATGAAGAGCAGAGTAAGGGGATACAGTGCAGTGCTGATTGAGATAGAGCGGTGTGGACACCCCACTGATGTGACGTCAGAGCAGAATGGAGCTCTCTGAGGAACTGGAAGAAGAGCCTTCCAGGCCCCAGGAGCAGCAGGTGCAAACGCCCCAAGATGGCAAAGTGCTTGCTTGTTGGGTGTGAGGAGCCGGTGGAGGTCCTGTGGGGCCTACCTGGCTTGGTCAGGACTTTGGGTTTTTTTTTTTTTTTTAAAGATTTTTATTGGGGAATTGGGGGGGTGGGAACAGTGCTGGGGAATTGGGGGAAGGGGCCCTCATATGTGGGATCCGAACCGGGGCCCTCTGGCATCCCAAGCGAGTTCTTAACCATCGCGCCACTCGGCCGGCCCAGGACTTTGGGTTTTATACTGAGCATGAAGGAGTGGCAAGGTGTAACCTGCATATGAAAAACCTCTCTTAGGCTGCTGAGTGGAGAACACAGAATGGGAGCCTGGGCTGAAAAAGGGAGGCTGATTGGAGGCTGTTGAAAGTCTCCAGCCAGAAGAGACAGAGGCTTCAACTAGAATGGTAGTGTTGAAAAAAATGTGAGAGGTTTTAGGTTTAGGGTTTATTTTCAATGTAGAGCAGGTAAGATTTGCTGATAGATTCAATGTGTGCTGTGAGAAAGAGAAAATTCACGAATAACTCCAGGATGTTTGCTGGGTTTGGCGCTCATTGGGGTGAATGAAATAGTTGTTGACATAAAACCCTTTCAATTGGGAGTTACTGGCAGGTGATAAACCTAACCTACTTCCGTTCCGTGAGGTGTGTGAGCAGCATGGAGGCCAGGAGCTGGGCACTATGAGCAAATGGAGCGTAGATCAGAAAAGCAGGCCCGCAGAAGACTGGGGTCCCAGGAGATGTGGGTGCAAGAACAAGGCCAATCAGCATGTCCCAGGACCCTGTCCCTCCGACCCCTACCCAAAAGAGCCTCCAAAAATCCTAAATTGGCATGATCTGAGCAGTTTAACTTGGTTTGTAACTTTCAAATATACTTTTATTTACTTATGACCACCAAGATATTTAAATAGTGGTAATAAAAACATAAATAGGATGTTAATTCATTGATTTGTTTCATCATTATTCTTCTGAATATTATCCAATTCAGTCTTTAGCTCTGAAGGTTATGACAAACAATTTTTCTAGTACTTGATGCCACTTTTTATTTGTTGCACTGAGGATAAGACTAACAGCATTCCAGCGTATGCCATTTTGGTTTTATTGCACATAATATTTTGAAGCACATGGTTTGATGTGGTATAGTAGAAACTGTTGAATAATCATTCTACTGCGTGTGTTTGAGCTCTGCCCTCAGACCCAAGCACCCAGGGTAAATGAGATCTTCATTCTGAAAGGAGATTTTTAATTGGATGAATATACATTCTACAAAGGGTCATAAATGATCATCCAGGATACTTGACTTGTTTGTTTGTTTCTTAAACTTCGCTAGCCCTTTTTATAGAACACGTGTTTCTTTTGTACTAAAAATTGGAAAAAAATAAGTCACTCCTAAACCATTACATGTTGAACTAAAGCTCATTCAGTGAAGGAGGGACTGCAGATAGTCTTGAACACAGCCATTCTTACCCCACTTTGAGTAGCTCCATCTATCTGTCTATTCATCTATAGAGAGAAAGAGGAATTTACAAGTGGGCTTGCAAAATCCTGCATGTTTCTTGTTTCAAAAAAAAAAAAGTATTTCTTTGAGGAAATTCTTGTTGGCTTTTATATGTCCAGGGGATATTAATTCCCTCACTTAACAAATACGTACTGCTCTATGCCAGGCACTGCCCTAATCCCTAAGGAGACAGCAGCAAACAAGAGACTCATGAAGGCAGGAACCAGCTATTTACAAAGTTATTTCATTCCTGCCACACCCACCTGGGGGCCTTCCTAACTAGACATTGGACTCACAAGACTTCCATAGCGGCCATGCTAGGGTCCTTGAGGTGGTCCACCCAGCAGCTCAGGACTTGTCTCTACCCTCAGCCCCCACAGTGACTGCTCAGGTTTACGGGCATGAGATCTGTTTCGGTGGGTAAAGGGCTCACCTTGTCATAGAAGCCCCAGGCTCCACAGAAGCCAGTGTCCCTTATAATACCTGATGGGCACAGCTTGCAGGGTCCCCACAAGGATGGGCCAGTTGCGAGAACCACTGCTCTACAGAAACCCAAACCTACAGCAAACCCACCAGGTGTTTATAAGTTTTCCTAGCCCAGTTGCCATTTTATCAATCAGAGGTTATTTTAACCATAAGCAATGTTGATGGCATTCCATCTTTATCAGGTGTCCAGGAAATAACCAGAAATTATCTTAAGGTCAAATTTGTCCTTAGAGGAGAAAGCATGTGTTAACCCTTTACTTATAGTCACTTTTGTCATAAGTGCTGCAAAGGAGAAGCTCAGAGTGAAGAGTGTTTATGACCGAGGAGCTGATGCACTGCTGTGCATTCATTCATTATGCAGCAAGCATTAAGTGGTTTCAACATAAACGCAGTACTCTGACACCCTCTTCATTTTGCAGATAAGTCATCATGGTGAAAAGCCACCTAGGCGGCTGGATCCTGGTTCTCTTTGTGGCCACTTGGAGTGACGTGGGCCTCTGCAAGAAGCGACCGAAGCCTGGAGGAGGCTGGAACAGTGGGGGGAGCCGATACCCTGGGCAGGGCAGTCCTGGAGGCAACCGCTACCCACCCCAGGGCGGTGGCGGCTGGGGTCAGCCCCACGGTGGCGGCTGGGGTCAGCCCCATGGCGGTGGCTGGGGACAGCCCCATGGCGGAGGCTGGGGTCAAGGTGGCACCCACAATCAGTGGAACAAGCCCAGTAAGCCGAAAACCAACATGAAGCACGTGGCAGGAGCTGCTGCGGCCGGGGCAGTGGTGGGGGGCCTCGGCGGCTACATGCTGGGGAGTGCCATGAGCAGGCCCCTCATGCATTTTGGCAATGACTATGAGGACCGTTACTATCGTGAAAACATGTACCGTTACCCCAACCAAGTGTACTACAGGCCTGTGGATCAGTACAACAACCAGAACAACTTTGTGCATGACTGCGTCAACATCACGATCAAGCAGCACACAGTCACCACCACCACCAAGGGGGAGAACTTCACTGAGACCGACGTCAAGATGATGGAGCGCGTGGTGGAGCAGATGTGTATCACCCAGTACCAGAAAGAGTCCCACGCTGCTTACCAGAGGGATGCGAGCACGGTCCTCTTCTCCTCCCCTCCAGTCATCCTGCTCATCTCTTTCCTCATTTTCCTAATAGTGGGATGAGGACAGCCTTCTCTTTTCACCATCTTCATCTTTTACCACGTTGGGGGAGGGGGTATCTACCAGCAGCCCTTTAGTGGCGGTGTCTCATTCTTGCTTCTCCCTTTGTCACCCATAGGCTAACGCCCTTGGCACCGAGGGCACAGGGAAATGCAGCACAGGCCTGGTGCGCAATGCATTCAAGCCCCGTTGGACCGAGTCTTTCACGGGCCAGTGCGAGTGCCAGGCTGGTAAGAGTGTAACAGCAAATAATCATCGGTTGATCTAGGCTTCTTTTTTGCCCAGCGCAATGGATTGAGGCTGAAACAATTCTCACAACATACCTTTGCCTGCATACCTCCAGCCCCTTCCCCAGCTGGAGCTCAGTACACTCAGTAGTGCCCCATCTTAGTTAGCAGCGATTTTGTAGCAATTTGGACACATTTTCTCCTTCATTTTCAGAAAGCCTGACTGCATTTCCCTGTTTAAACAGCATTTCTGACAAATTTGGAAGGAGGCCACATTATATTCATTCAAAAAACAAAACTAGAAATCCTTAGCTCTTGGGTCCAGGCTCAGCCCACTGGAGAGCATGTGCCCTGTGTCTGCAGAGAACGGTGACAATGTTTTGCATTTTGCAATACAGGTTACACTGCATCAAGAGTAAATATTCATGCAACACTAGACCTCTGGGCAGAGGACATTTTCATAGGGCATGAACATAATATGAAAGGCTTCTGGAACTAAAACTATCCAACATTTGGGAGTGGTGCCCTTGAAGGGTAGATGTTTAAAGCACCTACATGTGGCATTCCTTTCTTTAGCAACATAAACTATAGATAATTAAGACAGTTAAACATTAAGTTACTGTCTGGACACTAACAACTTTGTGGGAAGATTTTGATATTGGGTAAAGGCAGGAGATTTTAGCATAGAGGAAGCTGCAGCTGTAAAAACTCCATTATTAATTAGATGATTGTGTAATGAAGAAAAAGATCAGTGTACAAAGAAAAATGCTTGCATTTCTTCGTTGCTGTCTCATAATTGTCAAAATCCAGAATTAGGTTGAGTCCTTTATTTCTGTAATTGGCCTTTAAATCAAAGAATTGGGAGTCAATCCAAAAAAAAAAAATCAAAAAAAAATTCTTAGGTTGGAGATGACAGAAATATGGTCCATTTAAAGTGGAACAAGAAATTCTGTTACTGTTATTTAAATGAGGTAAAATTATTCCCTGGATGGTTCAATATTGTCACCTAGTACAATAGATCTGTGTTACTGTTCTGCAATGTTATTGGCTTGCATTGTGCGGGTATTCTATGTAAAATATATATATTCCTTATGACAAACTTAGAGATTTTGGTTAGAGCAGTTGACATCTGAAGTATCTAATGCATTTACCTGTTTTGTAAGGTACTAAATGCTTAATATGTGGGAAACCCTCTTGCGTGGTCCTTAGGCTTACAACGTGCACTGAATAGTTTTGTATAAGGATCCAAAGCGGTCTTTGAAATATGCATGTACTTTATATTTTCTATATTTGTAACTTTGCATGTACTTGTTTTGTTGTATAAAAAATTTATAAGTGTTTAATACCTGACTACAATTAAATAGGAGTTGAGATGCATCTTCTGTGGCGTTTGCTTTTGTAGTGACTAGAGCTTGGGTCAGCCTCCTGCTGGAGGCCCCCAGGGTGCTTGGGGCTGGGCCTTCTCTCCCTAACTGTCCTGGCACATCCACCCCTTTCCTCCCTCCCTCACTAAAAACAAACGATAAACAAACATGAAATCATTACCTTAAATTTTGTATTGGGCAAAGATATCAATTTTCAGTCACTCCAACCCTTGGCACCCTTATGACTTCAGCTCTGGAGGCTGGAAGTCCAAGATCAAGGTGTCAGCAAGGTTGGGGTTGTTTTGTTTTGTTTTGAGGCCTCTCTCCTTGGCTTGTAGAAGGCTGTCTTCTCCCTGTGTCTTCACGTGGTCTTCCCTCTGCATGTCTCTGTCCGAATCTCTTTTTATAAGGACACCACTCATCATATTGGATTTTACCTTAACTCTTCAAAGCCCCTATCTCCAAATACAATCATTTTGAGGTATTGGGGCCTAGGACTTCAACATAGGAATTTTGTGGGACACAGTTCAGCCAGCCCATAATGCCATCTTACTAGAAATGTTATGGCAGTGTGTCAGTGTTGCTTGTAACATAGTTCAAGGGCATTCTCAGGACTGTGAGGGCCCCACATTAACACACTCCCCCAGGCTTCCCATAATAAAAATACCATCATCTGGATTACTATGTCCTCAACAGACTGGACCACTGCCTACCACTCCACTTAGGATTGCCAAGGGGGCCTACCTCAGAGTAAGTGCCCATTGCAGAGCAAAGAAATGCTTCCATTCTGGATCCAGCCCCTGAGATCCAGCCACCATGCCCCCATGGCTGGCACAAAGTGAAAAGTTTCATGAACAGCCAAATTAGTTTGGCTCATACTTACGAAGGTCTAAAACTCTAAGCCAGATAATGTCCTTTGCCAAATTCTGAGTGCCAGGCATGCTTGCCACCCTGCTCACTGTGGCTGCCCACACATGGAATGTGTCCATTCAGGTTTCTGTATGGCCCTGGCTCACCTTCCAAAGCCCCAACTCCCAGAATTCCGGGAGGGCCCCACAGATTCCAGGCCCTTCCACCTGTATGCCAGGTGGCCTTGGCCATCATCGACACAGACCAGAGAACCCAATAAGGAAGGATACTATTTATCAGCCAATGCCATATTTCCCCCATTCCCCTGCATGTCTCGGAATCTCCTTTTATTCCAGCCCTCCGCAAAAGCTTTTTCTCTCCAACCCTCTTCTCTACACTGCCTTCCAGGAGGCAACTGACATGTGATGGGTTTGTTATTTCCTTAGCATCATGCAGGTATTGCAGCTCTTGTTGTGGACCACACCAGCCCACAAGGAGGGTTTCATGCTTCCAATTAGGGCCATCACACAGGGCTAATGTTTCCTCAAGAAACACCTCTGGACTTTCGATGAATGAAGAAAAGAATGAGTGAATAATCGATTACATGCTCAATCAAGCCCAGATCACCACCCCATAAAGTCTGTCAGAGACCATTCTTAGCTTTGAGAATTTTAGAAGTAAAATTCTTCCACCCATGGAAGAGGCCTATTGTGGCTCTGCTGCATATCTGATTTCCACCAGCTTTGGCTGCCACATTCCCCCGAACCTACCAGGAGATGAATCAATGAATAAACCAGGGCAGCCTGTTTGGCTGTGTCCAGCAATGTTATGGAAAATGCCCCCTGAAAACCACCATCTTGATTTTGATATAATCACCTGAAGAGTAATTGGAAAACAGGAACATTGTTTTATTCAGTATCTCCTAATAAGAGGTAGTAAAACCAAGATACCGAATGGAAGAGCATGTGTGTCCTCCAGGATGAAGGGTGTAGACCAGGGGTCAGCAAACTTTGGAGACAGAAGAGCTGCCAGGGGTCAGCAAACTGCGGCTCATGAGCCACAGGCTCTGAAGTAAAATTGAAAATGAAAATAAAACTATCATAGTTTCATTTATAAAATTTTTAAAGGATATTATTCACATAATGGTGATTATGTAAAAATATATTTATGGTTCTCGAATAATTTTTAAATTGTTGTGAGGACAGGATTGGCTCTTCCAAGGGTTGGCAAACTTTTGAGACGGAACGTACCCAAGGAGCTGCATGTGGCTTGCAAGCCGCAGTGTGCCGACCCCTGGTGTAGACCATGCAATATTATTCAGCCATAAAAGCCTGGATGGGGCCGGCCAAGTGGCTCAGTTGGTTAAGGGTGTGAGCTCTGAGCAACAGGGTCATCGGTTCTATTCCCACATGGGCCAGTGAGCTGCGCCCGAGCTGAGATGCCAACAGGTGGCAAGATGGCTCAGTGGTTAGAGCATGCGCTCTTAGCAACAAGGTCTCTGGTTCATCTCCTGCATGGGATGGTGGGCTATGCCCACCCACAAGTAAGATTGAACACAGTACCTTGAGCTGAGCGGCTGCGAGCTATCGACAGGCGGCCGGATGGCGACTAGACTTGGAGCTGAGTTTCGCTGCGCCCTCCACAACTAAGACTGAAGGACAACAACTTGGCTATTCCCCTTCCCCAATTCCCCAACACTGTTCTCCTTCCCCAATTCCCCAATAAAATCTTTTTTTTAAAAAAAAAAAAGCCTGGATGAAGTTCTGATACATGCTACAACATGAATGAACTTTGAAAACATGATGCTAAGTGGAAGAAGCCAGACACAAAAAGGTAACTATTATATGATTCACTTTAAATGAAATATCCAGACTAGGCAAACCCATGCAGACAGAAAGTAGATTTGTGGTTGCCAGAGGTTAGAGAGAGGTGGGAGAATGAGAAGTGACTGCTAATGGGTATGGGGTTTCTTTCTGGTGTGACAAAAATATTCTGGAATTAGCTAGTAATCAATGAACACCTTTGTGAATGTACTAAATATCACTGAACTGTACATGGTATGTGAATTGTATCACAATGAAGCTTAAAAAAAAAGTATAGAATTACTACCTAAAAATAGAAGTGATGAGTGGGTAGGGGGAGTTTTCCGCCTTTGAGATTTGATCTGTTAGAAGAACATTTCCACCCACTTGTTTCTCTCACAGGTGTTCTGGGAAACAAGTCTTTACAGAAGCACTGATAGCCTTGTGTCCACCATGTTTATAAACACTTGGCCCCAAGCCTTTACTGGCCACAGAATCAAAGCCTAAAGGAACGGGAGTTTAAAAATGTAATATGACATTCTTGGCCTTTTAAAAGAGGAACACAGCAATATTTAACTACAGACTGGCTGAGTTTAAAATCTGCTTTCTGGTCCTGTGATACATTATAGTACAAGATCTGCTGGTATCAAGAGCTGACAGAATCACCAGGTGAATAGACCTGTTCCCATATGTAGCAGAAACTCAACCCCCTTTACTCAGCATTAAATACCAACGATTCCTCAAAACAGCCATGGATCTTTGATGAATGAATGAATGAATGAGTGAATGAATGAGGGACTTGAGAAATAGCTTCATGCACCAGTTTTTGTGACAAGTCTAGTGATTTCCTTTTCTACAAGATTACAAATTACACGTCATACAGACGATTTCAACAACCTTTATCCACCTGGTAAAAACTTGACCCCTTTCCCCAAAGAAGGCATTTCTCCTGATTTCTCAATCTGCCCAGCGGAGGTAGCCCCAGCTGTTCCTTCTCCACCTTACAGGGAAGTTATGCAGACAAGTAAGGATACGCCCTTAGCTATGAGCTAAGTCTTTGACAAGACTGGGCAGTGTGCATACCAGGCCGTGAGATGTGGAGGCCTTCATTTGAGCCTTAGCTTCTGAGCTGCCCACATAACATCCCTGTCTTACTCACCTTGGCCTGCTTGCCCTGTTCAGAGGCCTTGCTGCATCCTTTAAGAACTGGACGCCCTGTCTAAATCACACATACTATGTTTTGGCTTTCCCTCCATTGGCTCTCCTTCCACTTGGTTTTCCCTCCTGCATTGGTAGCTGATCCCACTTCCCTGTGTGTCATTTCACATCTATGTGTTACTTCCACTTGGGGTCAGGAGATCAAAGAAGATGGAAGAGGGACATTGGTTCATGCCTAGTTGGAAAACCCAAAATATTTCCATATGGCAGCTAAAGTGAAGGGGTGAGAGGACCCGGTCAACCCTTGAAATCAGGGACATCTGAAGTGGAAAATGATGTGGTCTGTGAACTGCTAGTAGAAATACATCTGTGCTGAACAGATTGCCCCTCCCACCCCTGTGATGACCATTATCCAAGACTAGAAAGGAGACTGCATAGTTCACTAAGTGTTAGCTCTTCCCCTGGACCACAAAGCTGAGTTAGATGGAAAAACTTGCATCACAGAAACAGCTGTGAAAGAAATACAGCAGAACACCGAAGATGTCAAGGGTCCCCCCTCTCTCTTCCTGCCCGCAGCCCTCTCAGTGGCAATCCAGTCTTTCATTGGCGCATCCCCTGTCCATCATCACTTCGCTCCAAGAACTAGCCTCCTCATCCTCCTTCCAGGCAGTCATGTCTGCTTGCTGCCACCACAACAGTCGCCGCAGCCTCTGCACTCCGGTGATCATTGCCTGGTACATGCCATCGTACACACTGAGCCTAGGGGGTATTGTATGCATCACAAATATTAGCATTTACATCTTACTACCATCATTTCCCCAAGCCTAATTTTGAAAGGTATCCTTGAACACCTCCTGAATCTTTACCCTATTGTCCTGAGAAGCACCCCTAAGATGCCTCCATTCCTTTTCTCATGCTCTTCCCTCCACCTGGAATGTCTTCTCTGTCCCCTTCCCCACGTGGAAAACTCCTAAATTTGTACATCAAGACCCAGCTGAAATGCCTACTCCTGCCATGGACTGCTTTGCGAGTCAGGTGAAGTCTACGGACCCTGCTCAGAATATGTTTTTAAATGCATAAAGTAAAATACAGAGGTTACATAGGAAACCAATTATGCTAAAATATAGTTATCGAAATATTTTTCCATTGAAGATTTAAGAATTCACTAAATAAGACCCATCGGTGGACCTATTATTATGTTGGT